TGAAGGTGTGGCACCATCCTGTGTCCCTTTCCCACAGGTGTGGGAAGTAAAAGTCCAGATTCAGCAGAGCCTCCTGATGGCCAGCCAGCCCTCAAGCATCCCCAGGATTGGAACCAACTTCCAGGGCCAACCCAGAGAGGCCAGAGCTCCAGACTTTGTGATTTGAGGTATACTTACATAGAAGTACAGATGCATGCGCGCGCGTGCGCGTGTGTGTGTGTTTGTCATTGTGCCTTTGTGATGGAGGCTGGGGACCATCACAGGAGCCTCTCCCTTGGAATGCTTAGGGCTCTTCCCATGGCCTTGTAGACCCAAAAGAAAAATGCTCTTGTGCAACCCAGAGGTGGCCAGACATGAGTGATTGTGTGACACTGACTACATTAGCAGGAGCGACAAATAACAGTGCACAGTCATCCCTGGGTACACGCAGGGGATCGGTTCTAGAACCCCCCATGTATGCCAAAATCCAAACGTACTCAAGCCCCTCAGCAGGCCCTGCAGAACCTGCATATATGAAAAGGTCAAGTCCCTCCATAGTGGTGGGTTTAGGCATCCCATGAATACGTGTTTTGTTGGGAAAAAAGTCCATGTATAAGTGGACCCTCGAAGTTCAAATCTGTGTTGTTCAAGGGTCAATTGTGTTTATTGGAAATAAAGATTTCATTTTAGAAAAAAATCCAAGGGAAAATAAAAGCTTATCATCAAATTGAATGCTCTAAAGTTGTTTTTTTACCCCGTCCAGTGTGACCTCATGACGTCAGGAAACAGTGCATGGTGCAGATGACCTGCGAGGTTTGTAACTGGTGGTTTCCTCCGTGGGCAGTGGATTGCCGGCTGGGCTAATGTTTTAAGAGTGCAGACAGTCACGATGCAATGGTGACATTTGGTCCGTGCAGCAGCGGGCTTTTGCTGAAACCCGGTAGTCAGGAGCCTCAGAGAACCTGCTGTGAGGGGTCTTGTGGTCAGTGCAGCACCCAACCTCACAAAGCTCCTGAGGAAATCGGAAGTAAATTCAGCTCTGCTTAGGCTGCCTTCATGCCCTAGCCCTTCCATTCTAAATACCACCTTTGGGGTATTGTTAAAAAATAATACTAAGGAAAATTCAATGACTCATTATTTTTAAAGGCATATCAGAAAAGAGAGAATGGAAAATCAACCCCCCTTTAGTTGTGCTTAACGCAGTAGGTGGCCCTTACCTATAACAAGCAGATACTTACTCAAGGCTGCGCTGCGCCCGCCGAGCCCCACAGTCCCCTCGCTGGGAGAAACTGTAGTAGGTGAGCTGCCGGCCACAGCTGGCGAAGCGGCAGAGCCAGGCAGAGCCAGGGTTCCAGCCGGGGTCTCTGCTACCTCGGAGCCTGGACAGCCTGGTGGAGGCTTTGCTTCCTTTTCGTTGGTATTCTCGCAAGGAAACAGCCCGCGCACGAGTGCATGTAAACTTGTGCGAATTATTACCAAAACTTTGTCCTATTGCTCAAAATTCTGTGAACTGCTTTAAGTATTATCTTATTTCACAGCTTGTCCTGAGTGTAGCACCATGTAACAATACAAGCATTGGCAGAGAACATTACTGCCTTCACTGCTCAGACTGACATTGGTTCCATGATGAGGACCCAGAAATGCTGCCATTTGAGCAGATACCAGCTGTACAGTGAGTCCCCCTCTGCCTGAAAATGCTCTCCCAGCATTTAGAGATGAGGAAGCCGAGGGCTCTAGACCTGGGCTCACATCTTTGTACTGCCTGCCTGCAGTCTCTCCTATGGTTCAGGGCCCTGGGAGGATGCCAGTGATAGGGTCAAATCGTTCTCCCACGTGCTGAGGACTTCGCCACTTTCCCAAGGGTGAGCAAGAGCCAGGAGGCTTCACCTGCGGTGTGACAGGCTTACATGCCAATGAGGGCGGCCTTGCTGGGCCAGTGTGTGACGGACAACCTTCATGGCGTGGCTGGAGAGGAAGCTGTGGAGAGAACGCCAGCTGACGATCCGGGTGGGCAGGATGTGGCCTTTCTAGAGCTCTCGTCCATCTCCCAGGTCTGGGTTCTCTACGTAGCATGGGACACAGAACTGGGACCACAGCCCTCATGGTGGCTGGCCTCCATGGCCCCACCACGGCAGCTGTAGTTACAGCACCCCATCTACTGTGTGGGTGAGGCCCTAAAGAGAACATTTCCTATAAAATTGAATAAACTGGGGCAGGGGCAATTGTCAGTGACTAGTTACATAAATTATTGCACAGCGATGACTTTACTTGTCAGTTGGACTTCAGTAAAGCTGGGAAATGGTGGTGGTGGAGGGCAGCATGGTGGCCGACACCGTGAAGAAAGGGTACACAGCTGTCACCGGGTTATGGTTCCCACTGCAGAGACTTAATATATGCACATGAATAAGGACTTGGAAGAAATCTGTTCAGGTATTGGGGTGATGGGATTGTAGATGAATTTCCCCCCATTTTGGAATTTTGATTTTGCTGATTATTCCTGCAAAAAACAAAAGCTAGGCGAGAAAAGTCCCCACCTCCAGGCTGTAGCAGCCTCCCAAGGCAAGAACAGCCCGAGTGAACGCTTGACCCATGGCTGTCCCTCCCCTGCTCCAGGCTTGGTTCTTAGGCCTTGGGGACATCACCCTAGCTAGCAAAATGCATAGGAAACAGCTGTGCCTTGTTCTGAACGGCCATGCACTGGGCCAGGGCTGGGCGCGTGGCGGAGGCGTGCTGGGGACGAGGGCCTGGGCGGGGCGTGCACCTCTCCTGGTGTCAGAAACCTGCCAACAGTGGCTGGGGAAGGCAAGTGAGAGACAGATCTATGAGTATCCCTGTCAGTCGAGGCTCCTGGTGCTGCCTGAGCAGAAGGACAAGCTGCTGGGCTCACAGGCCTGTAACTCGTAGGAACATTGCAGACAAAGAACCATTTATTTAGGAAACAATTTGGTTGCTTATTTAACAAATTAAACGATGCCTGTGTCAAGCATGTAGATCGTGGAAACGCGTTATTAAAAAGACGCAGTCCCCAGGGAAGATGCACCGTGAACTCCTGTGGTGGTCCCTGGGGCAGAGGGAGTGACGCAGGACCTGGTGTGGGGGGGTTAGTGTCACCAGAGTGGCTTTTGCTATGTGTGGTATAAGGGAGATGTACACACATATGACATGTGCAAGTTTTCAGCACCATAGAGAGGAAAAGACGGTTAGTTAGGGTGCCGTGGATTTCCCAGAGGAGAGTCCTTGGGGCCTGGGAAGCCGCAGGGCTGGAGAGTTGGGGGTGCAGATACTGTCCCCAGCACAGGGACTGAGCTGGGGCCAGCTGTGCCCACTTTGGCCTTTGACCTGACACTTGTGCTGCTGCCTCAGGAGGGCTGGGGCCTGTGGGGGCCTTTGGGAGAAGGAGGGACGAGTCTCCGAAGGTGACTGCAGGACTGGTCCGAGGGGGTGAGGAGGGGCGGGGACACAGAAGAAGGAGAGGGCTGAGCGGAAGCCCATGTGCTCCACTTTCCACAGGTTTGGTCTTAGGGGTGGGGACACCTCCACCTGGGGTGCGATAAGAGCAGGGCCGGCCAGGGCTCCAGACTGGGTGGGGAGCTAGAAGCCAGACACGGGGGGGCATCACCAGGCTGGACTTGGGGCTCTTGCAGGAACTTTGGTGGGTTTCTTAATTTTTAGGGAAATAAAGCCATTGGCCTGGTTACTGCCATTTTCGGAAAGCGCGCAGCGCAGCCCCCATGTGGGTCCCTCCTATGTGAACTGGGCGGCTGTGTCTCCAGCCCGCCCGCCGTGCTGTGATCTGCAGGCGCTGCTGATGGCCCGCCCGGCCTGGAGGAGAAGGGCCCTGTGGGGACAGTGAGAGCAGCGGGGGCAGAGTGATGAATCTTAGAGATGTTGCTGTCAGTGGGAGCGTGGCTGTGACCATGCAGAGCGTGACCAGGGGTCGCTCCGCCAGGGCAACAGGCCACACAGAGGGAGTGGATCAGTCGTGCATTTGATTCGACTTTGCCTGTCACCCGTCACCATGCCAGAGCTGTCATGACCCATCACATAATTTTATAGTCAGATCTTAAGCCCACGCTTCCTCTAAACACAGCTGGGTCAGCGTATATTTTTGCTGCTGGTTCCATGATGTCCTGCAAGTATCTTAGGAACAGGTGTCTATGCTGGACACACACCCTGTTTAGCAGTGAAGGGTGTTTATATCACAGTGCTGGCCGCAGAACAGCACAGGGTGGCCTTTGCGTCGAAGAGTCCGGCTGTGTCACTGAGGAGGTCTTGTCCTAGCAGCGCTCTGAGGCTCTTGGGAGGCTCTGCGATTGCTCAGGGTCAAACATACCTCTTCCTGGGAATCCAAAAATGTAGCTTCCGCCCCACTCGCCCCTCAAAGTTCTCAATCTCGTTTGTAATTATGGGAACGGACCTTTCTAATAGCCAGCACTTTGGGTTCAAGGTGTTAGAAATGATGCCTGTTTGCTTGTCACCATGTCAGTCTGGCCAGATATTTTTGAAAATAGATATTAAGCAACTAGATGTCAAATTACATCTTACAGACCAAAGATAAATTCACTCGGAGACTCTGGGAGGGCAGTCAGGCTCGGGGGACTCGGTTCTAAATCTGAGCGCCAGCCGGGTGTCTCTGCGGCAGCGTGTGGCCTGAGGCCCGCCTCTGCCCGACGGGCAGCCCAGAAACTGCCCCTGCCGGGCAGTGGCCCAGGATGGTTTCGTGGCCATTTGGAATGTATGCCAGGCACATAAGTGTGTTCATTGAGCAATGGTTGGCTTGAGATGTACTTCAAATCTATTACGGGTGGAACGTAACCTTTCTCCTCTTTCCTTTGATCACAACCCTCCCTTTCGATGTGAGGTGTCCAGAGGACTAATTCTTTCTTGTTCCGCGTCTTAAGCAGGTTGCTATTGCAAAAGTTGTGGTTAATGTTTTGGGTGCTGCTGCTGTTGCTGTAGGAAACTAATGATTTCTCTCTGCCATTTCTTGTTCCTCTCTTCCCTCGCCTCCCCGCCACCAGGAAGGGTGTCTGTGGCCTTCAGACAGCTCCGTGCCACGGCCAGGGACCTCAGAGGTAAGGGGTGGTTGTGTGGGTGGCCCCGGCGCTGGTGGGAGCGGCCAAGGAGCAACACTTGTGGGTTAAGCATTCCCTGTAACCCTGTCGAAAAGCGGGATGGGGACTGTCCCTCAAACTCTGTGGGGCGATTTGTGCTGAGCTGCGGCTCCTTCCAAAAAACAGGTTGGGGTCACTGATCTGCACCTGACCCCACCCCCACACGCTACTGCCGATGGGCCTTGGCAAGTGTGGGCACACAGTGCGATTCCGTTCACAGCGCCAGGTTTAATAACATGAATTTTAAAATAGCATATTTTTGCCTTAAACTATGGCATGAGACAAATCAATAGCTATGTGTGTGTACCTATGTGTATGTATATGTATTAAATGCATGTATATCACATGTGTGTGTATATGTGTGTGTGTGTGTGTGTGTGTGTATATATATGTATTTATAAAATATCTGTCTCCAGAAGAAACTTGGATGATAGAATAAATGAAAGGATTTTGTAAGAAACACACTACCTGGATTTATTTTGGAAAAAGAAATCTATAATCATATTTACTTTGGGATACAAAACATTTTTCAAATCAGTGACTAAAAATAACTGCAGAAAACTTTTATTCAGAACTCAACTAACTGGAAATGTAGGGAAGCCAGAAAGAAAAGTCACTTTTTTCAAATTTTTTAAAAAAGTAATTGATAGGGCAATTAGCTTCTATAAGTAATTAATAGCCCGGCCCCACTCCGAGCACCATGTGTGAAGTCACGGCTTATATTTCCCATTAAGCACAGAGCCCTTGCTCGCTTTTCTGAATCAGAGCTGCCAGAGCTCCCCGCGGCAACCAGAGTGAGCGCTGGGGCCCGCGCGCTCGGCCCTGTCACTGTTACTGCCCTCTTGGGATCACAGCCGTGCCCACTGGAGCCCTGGCAATGGCTTACGCAGCAGGCACCGTGGCTCCATTAACCTGCCGTCTTGGACACACAGTTGTTTGGCAAGGTGTGTAGGTCTAAGTCATGATGAATGAGAAAAGTACGGGGTTTTTTGTTTGTTTGTTTTGTCTTTTTCCTGGACTAGTCTTTCCCTATTTTGTCCGGGAAATGGTGTCCACCCTGGTAAGAATACAGACCAGGCGTGAATTTCCTTGGTTCCGTCACATTTAGGGTCATTACTGTGCTACGAGCACCTTCAGGCCTCTCTCCCCTTTTCTTTCCAGATCATGTATGCCCCGAGGTCCAGGGACAGGTTCACCGCCCCGTCCTTTATCCAGAGGGACCGGTTCAGCCGCTTCCAGCCCACCTACCCCTACGTGCAGCACGAGATCGACCTTCCTCCCACCATCTCCCTGTCTGACGGCGAGGAGCCACCTCCTTACCAGGGGCCCTGCACGCTGCAGCTCCGAGACCCTGAACAGCAGATGGAACTCAACCGGGAGTCTGTGAGGGCCCCGCCCAACCGAACCATATTCGACAGCGATTTGATAGACGTTTCCATGTACAGCGGGGGCCCGTGCCCGCCGAGCAGCAACTCGGGCATCAGCGCAACCACCTGCAGCAGTAACGGGCGGATGGAGGGGCCACCCCCCACGTACAGCGAGGTGATGGGCCACCACCTGGGCACCTCTTTCCTGCACCACCAGCGCGGCAACACACACAGGGGCAGCAGACTGCAGCTGCAGCAGAGCGATTCAGAGAGCACAATCGTACCCCTCAAAGGCAAAGACAGGAAGCCCGGGAACCTGGTCTGACCCCCTCTGACATGCACTTGAATTGAGGAGAGAGAAACCATGGGGGGAAGAGGCCCGGCGGCCCCTCCTGCGCAGTGGCGTTCAGTCTTGCGTGGCGCAGCTAAGTAAAACAAATGAGCAAACGCAGTCTTTGTTTCTGATTCCTTTAGGGGAATTGCATGCAAACAAGACTGAAAAGATACAAACTTCCATCTGGTCTGACCATGAACAGTGTTTATTTGGGGACAGAGGTTGGGATGGGGGAGTGGGCAGGGGAAACAGAAAGGGATGTTTGAAGATATCATGAAATAAAACCCACAGAGGTATTTGATTTATTTAATTCTGAAAGGAGACTTTGCAGATAAATGAGGCCAGAATGGCCTATTTTATAATTAACTGAATAAAGAAGGAAGCATTATTCTATATTATCATGGGGAAGAATGAGCCAGTTTGCTTTTTCTCCCAAGGTGTGGAACTTTTATTTTGTTTTAAAAATATAAATCAAAATTCCTGTTTTGTGTGCCAAGGTAAAAAGTGGAGAAGTTAGATGAATGCAAGGAGCTAATTTGTGTTGTGATGATGTGTTTTAAAAGTTGCACTATCTTAATGTTTAAAATATATATGAGGGAGCTGTTTTCCGTGAAGTTCTGTATGTCTTTTCACCTGTGGATTATTATTAGGCCCAAGGAACATCCTGGAGTATACCCCGGAATCATACAAGAAAGATAATCGGGGGTGCATCCTAATACTTACCAACTTACATAAATCGAAAAAGTCATTGTTGCAGAAATTTGCATCCAATAGCAATGCATTGCTGAAGCATTTGGAGACTTTTGGATGGAAGATAGGAAATACTAATAAGTTCCAGCATTTCTGACTTGTTATTGAGTTACTCTGCTAGTCAAAGGCTGCATATTTTATTAAAAATGAGCCTGACACGTTTATGTGTCCAGTATCATGCAGCGCTGCCCTCATCCCCTGGCAGTGCAGTTTCTTCAGTAATTTAGATTTTTTTTTCACTGTAGTATGAAGTTTATTCAGATACATACCTTACTTTATGCAATAAATTGTTTAAAATGCAAGGTGGTTATTCTGTATCCTGTCGAACTGTGTGACTCCTCAGCATACCGCTGCCTCTCCCCTTCCCGAGACAGCCCAGTGGAGGCGCCCAGCATGCGCCCCACACAGCCCGCCTGCTGTGGCATGTGTGAGGGTTGCTCAGGAAGCCTCTGGAATGCACAGCAGAAGGCCGTGTTGCTGGTCGGAATAAGCCACTGCGCGCCACTAGTGTTAGCATGGCAGTCTTAGAGGAACGCAGTACTCCAAATGCCCCAAACTCCTGGCAGGATTGCACCCCGCCCGCCCCCAGGTCAGCCTTTGTGTGGGTGGGGGGAGCAGGAGGTCAGTGAGAGAAGAGCGGAGGGTGGAGAGACTTAAGAGCACAGGATAAGAAGCACAACACGCAGTTGAAATGCAACTAGAAAACTTATTTTAAATATTGTTAGTCTTAGTTTTAATAGTCCTGATATTTACAAACATTCATTCTTACAACTTAAAAAAAAGAACAACTTTCTTCTGCAGATGCAAGCACTGGCTTTTGCAACAGCAGCAGCCAACAGTTTAGCAAACACTGTGCCGCAGAGACGGTTTCTCTGCAGCACGGTCTCCATTCGGGGGTGGCCTCTTTGGCCTCTGCCAATTAGAGGAATAGGAATAGTGGTTCAGTGACTCTGATCTATGCAGCTTTAACGCCAAATCAGCGTATGTGTGTCATGTCTGTCTGTGGGTCTTGGAGGTGATTCCTCAGTGAGGTAGGTGGCTTTGCGCTGTTGCTGGGAGCTGGAGGGGCTGTCCCCGGCCCCAAGTCCTGTCTGTTCCCTCCTGCTTCGTGCCGTGGTAGTAGGTCGCTGGTTTGCTTTGAGGACTGCAATCTCCATTAGATCCATCCATTTCACACAGTAACATCCACAGAACTAGTCAAACTCTTAAAAGGAGAGAAATAAAAGCTGGGCCACAGTTGTCAGCTCATGCCCGAGACCCTGCGTGGAAGGATTTGCAGCCGAGGTCCACAGTGGGACCTCTGAGACTGGGTTCAGTCCTGTGGCAGTGACACCTGCGAGGCCGCTGTCAGGAGAAGCCAGCTCTCAGGGCAGAGACCGACTAGGGGCAGAGAGACCTCTCCCACCCCTGGAGGCTTCCTGCAGGGTGCTGGCCAGGACTTGGAGCCTGTGCTTGAAAGCAGCAGGGGGGTCCTGTGACACAGCCAGTCCCCGTGGGTAGGCAGAGACGAGGAGACCCTCGTACCAGTCAGGCCTCGCTGGGGGACTCAGGCGGATTCTTGGTCAGGTGTCCTGTCACACGCAAAGTCGATTTCATCATTCCAAACTTGCCCATAGTTTTGGCCAAGCAGGGGAGCCACCCATAGCTCTAGCTCAGAATGCGTTCAGGCCTCGCTCTTCCACCTGCTCCAAGAAGGAGCTCAGATCAGAGACTTGCAAGTTCCTTCCTTTGCAAGTACATGCATGTTCGCAGGTGTCCACAGTATTGGCAAGACAATTATTTCGTGCAGATATATAATCGTCTTTCAAAACAGAGGTTCCTCCCATTCAACCACCCTAGAGAATTGCCTTTTAAGTCAGTTATTTAAAAACATACATAGCAAACCATGACTTGGAAAGGTCTTTGAGGCTGGGCCTCTGCAATGAATTACTTTAAAAGCCAAGGTCATAAATTGAATTAATAGTCAATTTTCCTTTGACACAGGGAAAAGGTGATGTAGATCAGCAACTCCTTTGAAGGCTGCGGCTGCCCTGTCCGTGCCATGTGGCCTCATGGCTGGCCGGGTGCTGAGAGAGTAGTGGTTGTGAGGATGCTGCTTTCACAGCGGAGCCTGTTGTTCTTCCAAGAACCTTTAAGCTTATGGAACCTGAGGGTCCAGTGTAGAAACCAGTGGGTTAGGCAATCAACGATAGGTTTATAATCCTAGGTTCCAGTGTTGCAATAAAGGATTGCATTGTTGGAAAGAACAGTGGGTGGGAACTAAGTCTCCTGGGCATACCTCTGACTTTTGTCCCTTGTCCCAGGGACTTCCAGGAGTAGGAAACCCAAGGCATCTTGAATCCCATCTATAAGAACAGTCTTCTAGCATACACTTGCTTTTTTAGAAACACTAGCGTTCTTTACACTGACACAATCCTTAATGGAAAAGAGATCTTGTGAAACAAATATGCATTTTTATAGTTGATCTATTTTTTGTGTACAAAATTGACAGATAAAGCAGCTTGACCAGCACGCCCCCACCACATAACACACGACACACACACAATCCCTAAGAAATTTCAAGGTAGCGGAGGAGAATCTTTAAAACTTAACACAGCTTTACCATGAGGGTGCACTTCTAGTCATTAATTTTGGCTCAAACTTAGGAGAGAGGAAACAGAGGCCAGCAGCGAACTGGGGGCCTCCTGGCACCAGCACAGGAAGCGGGATCACAGATGAGTCTTCTACGTTTCTCCATCTGATCTCCTTTACCTTTATTTTATCTTCATAAGAATGAAAAGGGCTCAAAAGGAAGCCCTTGTAGAAAGCCCCTCCATTCTAGAAGATTCCATCCCAACCCTGCCTTCCTGTCCGAACCCGCGTCCCCCCTCTGACAGGGTGATCCTCTAGCTTCCACCATCTGCTCGTCTATTTAGGAGGACTCCCAGCCAGAGCCCCTCAGACGTGTCCTCAGCCAGATGCTGGCTGCCAGCACTGAGATCCGCACCCCCGCCTCCCGGCACAGGAGCACCGTCCTGGTGCTGGCGCGTCCCTCGCTGTTCTGGCCTTGCGGGCTCCTGGGCTTTCTGCTGAGGCACGAGGGCGGCGCTGGTGCTTGCCTATTGAATTTTGCTACTTAGTGACATTATTAACTCTGTTTGTATTCTCAAAATTCCCAAAGCTCAGCAGTGTATGAAGGAAAAAGCCGACAGCATGCTTGCTTTCTGTTGCTTTGGGTTTTTCTTGCCCTGGTGACAGAAGCCAGGGTTCTGGCCAAGACTTCATGCCGTGAGTGTGCACTGGGGCCTGCTCTGCCCTGCCCACCAACCTTTGCTTAGGAGCATGAGCCCAGCTCCCACCCCCACTGCCCGGGAGCACCATGTTCTTGGCATAGGGACACATGCAGAAGAACACTTTTGGATGACAAGTTGGCAAGGGGAGACCCTCCTCTTCTCACTGTGAGGAACACTTTATCTAATGGTAACACACCAAAGTCACAAACCAAGAAACTCTTCCTTCATCCCACATCACAAATGAAAGTTCTCAGTGGCTTCATGGCTTCCCCACCTGTTACCAGCTCCACTGGGCCCCGCTGCCAGCGCCTGTCCAGAGACCACAGAGATGTGCGCGAATAAGGGAAAGCGCTCTTAGCCTTGCAATAGCCTACACTTTCTAGGAATCAAGATTTCAGCATACTTTCATACCCAACACACTGTGTCCTTTGCATAGTTCACATTTATGTTGTCGCCAGGGTTAGACAGTCGCTGCTGCTGCCCGAGTTGGGTGCGTTAGGAAGCTGTTGTCTGTGAGTGTAGGGATGTCTTGCTAAGACAGCAGTGTCTTCTTTCGTCTTTTTTCTTTTCTTCCCTCAGTGTGTGCTTGTTTTGTGTAATGCGGGAGAGGGTTAGAGCTATACAGAGATTCTATATACACTATCCATGCATATTTTATATATATATATATATATATATATATATATATATATATATATATGTATATCCCTATTATTTCAAAGAGCTCTGCATGTCAGTTCTGGTTTCTGCAGACAGAGGACCCAAGCCACCCCCTTGCACTTGGTCAATGCCCACCTTTGTTGTGCCTCACTTAAAATGGTGCTTTTTCAGTTGTCTGTCTTTTCTTATGTTTTTATTTGTAAGGTGCTGTATATAAGTCGAATATTATTATGCACATATCCTACCCAATGGGTAGAACAAAAAATTGTTAATACTGTAATATAATGTATAGATGATACCAATTTTAACAGAATGGCATAGAATTTGTGAATGCCTATGTGCTTCGTCCTTTTTTGTAAGGAAATTTGCAAATGGATGCATACAGATAAAAGTCTATGTAGTTTATTTTCCTATTAAATATCAATATTATAACACAAGGGAAAGAAGTCTGAACAAACAAGCAACAGATTATGACCAGCGTATATATAGCAATTGAAAGTTGCATATTTGCTGTGAAACAGTTAAAAAAAATTTTTTTTAAATCCCACAGCTTTTTGGTTGCCACCAGATGCTTCTCATTTTAATCACTTTAGTAATGCTCAGTTTTTAGTTATATTTCAGTAATAAAAAATGTTGATTTTCCACTTGCTTTAGGAATAGACGCTATATCCTGCTGCAGTGGAATCCAGGCGAGGCCTCAGTGGACAATGCACACTTTGCGGCTGCTAATGTTACAGAGACCCTGTCACAGATCGGCCTGCAGCAGGCAACTTTGTTCATCTAGAGGCATTTATGACTGTCTGTGTCCCAAGTCGCTCTGTGCCTTTTTCTTTTACAAACTGAAGCTGTGGAGCCAATGAACTAGCAGTAGAGACTGTAGGGAAAGAAAACCTCAGGAAAAATAGATCCTATTCAGAGAAGACCCTGTTTTTAGAAAAAAAGGTTTTGTTATGGGTTATCATTGGAAGAGAGTTGGCTGCCATGTGAAGAATCCATATCCATTCCTGTTGGTGTCCTATCCTAAACTCAACGCAAAAAACAAACCAGGTTTTGCCATCAGTTAGAGATGACGTTTTCAGTTGTATGTCAAGTTACACCTCTCTTCCAGCTTGGCTTTTAGTGTCTGATTGTGACCTCTGCATTTATGTTAAAATATTCTAATTTTTTTAAAAAGAGAAAAAGGCCTGTAACGTGTGTTCATGAAAACCACTGTTGGATCTTGGGTGTGGGGAAGCTTTCCAGTGTCCTCCGTAAAGGCCAGCCATGGTATTCTGCCCATCTGATCCATAGTATCTTTATTCTGCCACCAGAGGATATCAATTCTAATTAATTCCAAGTTTTATATTTGGTCTGTGGTACATTTTGAAGATCATGGTAGAATCATACCCCTAACATCCAGAATGCAAGTTATTACCAATTATTCTTAAACTGAAAACATCTCTATAATGCTGAATGGATTAGAAGTCAGCCCTTCTTTTAGTATGTGTTTGAAAGGGCCACGGAAAGACGATGGTCTCGTGTGCTCCGGATGCCATGTGTCTAGACCTGTGTCGGCTCCACCTTACAAGGCGGTGCACGCCGGGAATCAGCATTAGGAACTGAGGCTCATTTGTATCAGACAAAGCTCCCACCCCCAGGGTCAAACTCTTGGGAGAACTGGTAAGCATGAGAATGTTCTGGACTCAGAGGTACTACAATTTATTACTCCACCATTGCTTCCTTTCTACACAACTAATTGAGGCTTAAACTTTACTGTTAATGATACTGGTTCATTTTTATGTGCTTGTTGGTATATTGCTATTTTTCATTACATGGCTTTCAAAAATCACATTTTTCAATTGTATACTTGTCTAGTTTAAAGCTGTTTTAAAATATGTACAATATTATTCACAGCATTTAGTTCACTTAATTTTTATTATAAAGCAATTTACTAAAAAAGTACAACTGTATTTGAGCTTTTCAATAGTTGATTGTGAGCTATGATAATCAGAAGTCATTAAGTCTTCTTTGTTAATAAACATTTGTGCTTGCTTTTCAGCATAATTCCCAGTTATACACAGAGAAAGATTTCCAACTGTCCTGTATCTGCCTCTTTCCACTGAGCAATGGTGATGTAGTTCTTAGACCTAAGGTCTGTAATTGCAATACTTTTAAAGAAAGATGTTGCTCTAAGTGCTGTTAGTTACGAATTCAGATTTTTCTGCTTGTTCTTAATGCTGTGGTCAAACCATAGCACAGAATCATTAAAAATAATCAATGACACACATTTGTCCCTTGGATTTTTTTCTTTGGTCTTTTCTTTATCTTTCAGCAACAGTGTATGGAATAAAACGGTGTACGTTTTAAAACTCATCTCAAACACTTCTTATGGTTCCCTAAAGCTAAACTTTCCATGCATCTTTTATTCATTCTGACTTTCAAAAATCATGACTTCATATTCTGTAAGCAACTCTGGTAAGATCGCATTGTCTGATTGTTTTCCCAATTCTTGGGGTCTGCACAGAACACGCAGAGTGGTCCTCAAGTCCCTAGTGGGAGGAGTCCCTGAGAGAACTGCTGGTCCCCCAGATCAGGCACCTGAGGGGGACTTTCCGGTTGTCTCAGAGCTTTTGGATGGCTGTCACACAGCCACTGCAGTAGACTCAGCCCAAAACACAAACAAGATTTCTAATAGGGACAACTGTTCAGCAGTGGAACGGACTTCCTCAGCGTGTGTTTTAAATTCCTTGGTGTAGGAGGTCTTCTTCAGTGAGTGATAAGGTAGCAGAAAGGCTCTAAATTCCTGCATTGGGAGATAGGAATAATATTATCTCCATTTGCTAAATAAGTGCATGGACTCACAGATGACATGATTGTGTATGCACAAACCCCGCACAGTATACCCAACTACTAGAGGAAGTGAATTTAGCATGGCTGCAGGATATACAATTTATTTTTGCATTTCTATATACTTGTAATGAACAAATGGAAACTGAAATTTTAGAAATGCCATTTAAGTAATTATACAGGCCAAAAATTCTAGTTATACACCCATTTTAGATTCTGAATTAAATTCCTTAAGATTATTTTGGGGACTAGAAAAGAACTATAAGGAAAAGAGCAGTAACAAAGTGATTTATTTCCCTTAAAATAGCAAACAGTCACTAATAAACCACATGTACTAGAATTCTGTAATCTCTTCATTTAGCAGATCATCAGAGAAGTGTTAATGAATATGCCCAAACTTGCCAACACTGCCCCCTTGTGCCACACCTTGCTCCTGGAAGGTTCTGCACAGAGGGAGTGAGGGGGGTCAGGGCTTGGGGCCCTGCTTGATGGTCCAATTCAGTCAACCCTTGGGCGGCTCATCATAGCAGAGAAATGGGCCCTTGTCCCCCACTCCCCACCACCCTGAGGCTACACCAGCTGTCATTGTGGTCAAAGTCTGGGTTTGGGTTCCCTGAAAGCAAAGGCCAAGTCAGGGAGGTGGGAGCTGTTCTCGGAGGAAGCAGCTGACTGAGAGGAGAGAGACAATGGAAGGTGCATGTTGCACTGGTTCCCACCATTGGTGGAAGGGGCTCGGCTTCTGGGCAGCCGAGAAGAGGGTGGAGAGACAGACCGTGAAACCTGCCAGCCCAGTGTCCAAACCCCTTCAACTTCGGAAGCTAAGCAATTCCTGGCTCTTTGATCTACTGATTTTATTCATTAGCTTTTTAACCACCTCAGTGCGGCGCTTACCGGCCGCAAAACCTCGCGCACAGCCGGCACACACAGTCCACACGTAGTGTGTGCTGCGCATTGACGACGGATCCGTTTTGCTCTTGTGTGATGAGGAAAGCTTCAAAGCACTGAAAGCTTGTTTTACTTTACAGGCAGCTTTACTTGTCATGTAAATCAAAATAGGTAACATATACATATATGTTTTCAGTACAGTATTTTTAATGTTCACAATTTTGATAAATGAAAAATTAGAAAAGTCATATCATAGCTGTTGTATAAAGTCGCTGTGCACGTTCATCTGTGGCTATCGACTACAGTCCATGCTGGGCTGTGCATGTTCATCTGTGGCTGTCACCTACAGTCGATGCTGGGCTGTGCGCATTCATCTGCGGCTGTCGACTACAGTCGATGCTGGGCTGTCGACTACAGTTGATCCTGGGCTGTGCGTGTTCATCTGTGGCTGTCAACTACAGTTGATCCTGGGCTGTGTTCGTTCACCTGTGGCTGTCGACTTCAGTTGATGCTGGGCTGTGCGCATTCATCTGTGGCTGTCGACTTCAGTTGATGCTGGGCTGTGCGTGTTCATCTGTGGCTGACGACTATAGTTGATCCTGGTACTGAAGTGGTTAAAAAGAAATCAGAAGTGCAAAAGCTACAGTTTTAATCATTTGAACATAGCAGAGTGGTGACTAAAAATACTTTTAAAAAGTATTACCAGTAAGCACATACATTTCATTTTAATCTAAAAAAAACTGCAGCTGTATATAGTGGCTCTTACATAACTTAAACCTGTTTACAGAGCCATTTCATTTATAGAGCTGCATTTGTCTCTACTGTTACCAGTCATCTGTAAGCACAAAATGTTCTAGCAACTGACACCAGCAGACAGAGCAAGCATGCTCTGCAGGCGCAGCTGCCATCCACGGCTTCTGTGTGGATGCTGAGGGCTCCATTTGTCATGCCCTGTCCTGTGTTTCAAGTGGGATTCTGTATGGGGTGATTCGGCTTCTTGGGAATTTCCTACTTACAGGTAAAGGGCAACATAGGCTTTGGAGCTTAATAGACCTAGGTGCTCCCAATACTAGCTTCATTTCAATTTAATGTCCCTGACAGACAGGTGGTTGTTTTGGAACCTCATCTATGGGACAGGAACAGTGACACTTACCTGGCAGGGTACTTCCGAAGATGAAAGGAAAGCAATGAGCTCGCCATGGGGCCCGGCCATGCCGGGCTCCTCATGAATGGCAGCTGTTACTACTAGAACTTTCATGCTCTAGACTTAACAAACACATTTTGCCCAAATACAACAGACTTGTAAACAGCATCTTGCCTTTGGAATGCCCTCTACATTAACTCCTGCAGCCTAAAAGCTCAGTGAAGTAAACAGGTGCTGCTTTTATCCTCAGCAGGGAGTACCAAGGATTAGATATACTTTTTAAAATAAAGAATATTGCAGTAGGGAAGGGAGTTTCTTAAACCTTAGAAATGTTGAAATCTAGAAGGGTTTATTTAGGGAGAGCAAAAGTTCAAAGTCACTTCCCTACTTGCCTTGCTTCCTCTCACCCCCCTCCCTGCTTGTTTTTTTCCTTTTTCTTCTGACTTTCTTCTTACAGAGGAGTCAGGGGGAGCCAAAGTTGATTTGGGCACTGTCACCTAGCACTCTCTCCACCTGCCCGCTGCACGCACCTGGGGCCGCAGTGCTGCACCTGCTGACAGAGCTCCTCTCTCTGCGCCCTGTGCTGACCCTGGCACGCCCCTCTTCTGGAACAACATCCACAAGCACTTAGTCTTGTGCCTTGCTGACAATCCCACTCAAAACCTTGGAGGTACACACTCTCCACATCTCTCTGACACGCCTTTTGCCACCTATTAGGGTTTCAGCCCAGCAAAGCTAGAGACAGGGGAGGCAAGATGCCACCACCCTACGGATCCTCAGCGTCCTGACGGAGGAATGCTGCCCTGACTGAGCTCTCAGCACACACACTGTTGAACCATGGGGTGTGCATGCACACTAACAGGCGCATGCCAAGGGCAAAAGCAACACGGCGATAATGAGCATGTCGGGTACACAAGACACCGTGCCCCGCGCACGGACACCACGAAGGGCACAGCGTGGCTTTGCAGCAGGCCACTGGAGTACAGAGCTGCCAACATGGTACGTATGTCAGGACTTTTGTTCTGAATTTTTATTAAGAATACTTAACATGAGACCTCCCCTCTTAACAAACTTTTAAGTATATAATACAGTACAGGCTTGGCTTAAGGTTGGCAATTTTCACAGGATTCAGAGAGGCCAACCTCTATATTTTGGTGAAACCAAACAGTTCTCTTACTATTAGGGATATGCTGAAGGGCTCAGCACTACAATTTTCCACAAATGGCAGGTTCTGATCACTTCAGCTATTCCAGTGCTTGGCTGCAATGAAATGGGAAATTCCAACCTGAGCCGGCTCCACATATGCGGCAGACACAGCTGGCCAGACACTGTGACTTCTGCAGCAGTGGCAAGAGGATACAGCAAACTCATCTTGTACCAAGGGGGCAACGAGGAATTTCCTGAGGTCAAATCCTCCTTCATGTGTGAACTATTTAAACTTAAATAGATGTATAAAAACCTGATTTAGTTACTGAAGTTTTCACTACTTGCTCTCAAGTATGGATTTAGATATATGAAAATTGCTACCTAACTGCTTTGCCAAGCGCAAGTTCGCCCAGATGGTGACAGATGACATCACTGCACTGGACCATGCAAGTCTCCCATCTCTTGGTCTGTCCCAGGCAAAGGGGAAAACGAAGCCACAGTGTGAGAAGTTAATAATGGTTTCCTTCCTGGAGTCAGAAATGGAGGTCACAGGTGTTTCCCCTTCCTACTACTCTAGAGACAAAAAGTTGAAAAGAGTAGAATCTAAAAGAATTTAAAGTTAAAAGCCAAAATAAAATGGAAAGCACCAGTAGAAGGGGGTAAGGAAAATCAATAAATCGGCTTGAGCATGTATCTCCAAAAATACAAAGAATTTCAGAAGTCCCAAAGCCTGGCCTGACATACCTCAATGCCCGGAGCCAGAGCAAAGGTACTAAACTGGAAGTTTAGTTAAGATCCCAACTTTGGATCCAGTTCTCCTCTTCCTCTTTCAACTAAAAATGTTGGCCTCAGTGTTTTAAGGTGACCCACTAAATGCCCCTTTCTACAGTTCTATAAGCCTGGAGTTTATAAGTCAATTATTAATCTAAAATGCTTTCAAAATAACACAATTAATGAGTGGTCTACATTTCTCAACAGAAGTTTCATTAGGTTTTTTGGACATACTTGTTCAATAATATTTTCAATTTTATTTTTTTGGAATCTAAGATTTATCTCTTATTTCTGGACCAAAAGAAGTGAGGAATACAATTTATGACCCACCATATCTCCCTTAATAAGGGGATAAAAAGTGCATGTTGATGGAGCACTATGGCAACAAAGCACCATAATCCTATCTCCAGCCTTAGCTGAAGATCAGTCACGGTGGTATTTGAGGACTTCACAGGCCTTGCTCTGGCCATCAGCACAAGAAAAAGAACCAGAGCAGCCACTATTCTTAGAGAAGTAAAGCAACTGTGATAATTAAGTCACCATATTAAGGGTCCAAAGAAAATAAAATATGGACTCAAATTCAATGAAATACATGTAAGTCAAAATATGCTTTAGTCATCCTAGAATCTCAAAGCTAGTACACAAGGTAAAACTGAAATACATGTGAGAAAATGCTGTATGTTCTTTTTTAAGAAAATATCACATTTAGGTTTTAAGGAGTTAATCACCTAACTGGTGTGACAGAAGATACAGAATTGCCATTATTTTATGTCACATGCTTACAGTAGCCTTTATGGAATTAGCAAAATAGAGTGTAAGGCCAACTTCTGCCATGTATTTGATTTAAAAATGAGGGGAAAATTCATTTTATCAAAATAAAAAGGATGGAGTTTAGGTTCCAATGTTGTTGCTCTAAAAATTAAAAATTGTCTAATATCAGTCAACTGCAGCAGCAAGATCACATCCCCCTTGATGAAGAATGGGCTGTGGCCATCTGACCCCAGGGACTCTGCAAGGGAGGCCGCACAGAGGGCCAGGCAAAGCATGCATCTGGCACACTTGCTGCACAAACATCTCAAAGACAGGTTTCCAACATTTAAATTATTCAAAATTCAAAACAGAGAAAGCTGGACAGAAAGAGGGAGAGGGAAGAAAGAACCAAGACAAGTTCTATTCAATCCTCATTTTCAGGAAGAGGGAACATCTATTTTGGCAACAGAAGGGACATGGCTGTCCTGCAACTTCTGTCCTCACGCTCATTGTCCCAGGGCACACAGGATGGGAAAAGGGCATTTCCATGAGCCCTCTATCTGTAAGGACAAACCATGCTCTGAGAAGACTGGGCTGCCTAAGCATTGCCCCACTATGATCATCTAATCATCAGAATAAAGAACAAGCTCAATGTTACACTCTGCCCCGGAGGGTTCTGAAATCAGGACGCATTCTTTCTACTAAAAGACCATTCTTATTAAAATAGCCAGATAATTACCACAAGATAATTATGATCTATAATTATTATTGTTGGTGACTATCAATGATGCATCAAGAAGAATACAGCTTGATTTTCAAAGCCTAACCCTGAAGAAACAAGACAACTACAAACTTGTTTTGACTTGTTAAAATGAACAAACTTGACACAGAAGTCACAAAGGAAGAATCTCACAGAGGGAAAATATATTTGATTGCCCTGACTCAGCATTCCTCAAATGCAAGTTATAAGCTCAAAGTGCAGGGGAAAGATATTTCAAGAACCAAAAAGCCAGGCCAAAATTCATGGCTGAAGGTGAATTAATTCTGGAAAGGTCTCCTCCAGACCTCAAGAGTCCATCAGGGAAGAATGAGATTTCGACTCCTACTGTCCCTTCAGGGATGTGGTATCTTTTGCAATCTCATTTAATACAAACTTGATATGACAGAACACACACATGGTCCAAAAAACACCAGAGTTAATATGTACAGAGTAAGTAAAATTTCCCACCTCTGGTTCTACAGATTTCTGGGTCAGGTTGTTAAATTCCAAGGCAGCACAGAGGCTCACACTTCCCTTTCTGAGTGTTCATGTGATACTCTGGCATTAGGTCAATATGATTTGATGCATTGTTAAAGACCATGGAGCTAATACATTCAATTAAGTAGTGAGCTTTTAATACCAAAAAATTAAGTGGCTTACAAAAAATATATTTAAACAGGTCAAAACAACTTTGGTAACCACATAATCTATTTTATTTTAGGCCTCATGGAGACTCAGTTTTGAATATCTGAAATAAAAATGAACTGTGGCCAGCAGAAGAAATATGTCTACATTACCTAACAAGCTATTTTTCAGAAGGAATCCTTTAATTCAGAAATGTGTTCCTCACAAAAAACATTTTCTCAAAATAATACTTCAGAAAAATAAGGAAAGATACACTCATCTTTTTCTGCCTCGCTTGCTAAAAATCTTCTGTGCATTTCATTACCATTACTATCTTCTATAGCAGCCTGTTTACAATATCTGAATCAGTGAAGAAATCCCGAAGATGACCTGAACCAGTGCAAAGAACACAGAGAGATGCTCAGTTATCTCATATACAATTTCCTTCTTTTCTTCAAACACCTTTCCTGCTCAAACTATTGAGATCTTTAAAATGCCTGGCATTATCTCCAAAGATCACTGAAACAAGAGAGCCAATCTCCATTTCATCCTAAGCATAAAGGACAGTAATATCTTTCACTTATAAATAAGTGGGGGTAGATTCTGTGACAACAAATAAACACAAGATTATATTCGAAGGCATCATTTTATTATCTTCATTACTAGGAGGAAGGTAATCTCAATATAAGTAATCTTTTTCTCTTTTGTTGAAATCTGTAAACAGCACCCTGCTGTATACAAAAGGCTGTCTCAATCAAAGACATTTTTTTGGATGTGGTACTTTAAAAGGTTGGTTTTGCCCATACTCTTGAATAGATTGAATCTCTTACCTACTCCCATCTTTTATCTCAATTATTAATTTGCTGAACAAACCCTTTTTTTGCATTTTATGTAGGCTAATCTCAGCCACAGGTGCCTCCATACCCGGTCCGTACCAAGTGCAAGATTTACTACAAATGAAATGAGGTCTACTATACACAGCAAAACTATACTTATTATATATATATATGTTCTCCATAATTTAACTTGGCATACGTTACTATATTGTCAGTCTATTAATATTCCAAACTCAACATATGACAGGGGTCCCTGTTTAAGCTATTTGCAGTTTGCCTTAAGGACTAGGTCAGCAATATGCCAGCAAGAGCATTTTTGGATAAATCCTGGTGTCAAATGATGACGACAGAACTTCCCACATCTTCAGAGGATTTTTACCAGAGAATTTCAAAGTCCTCATAAAGCAGTACCTCATTTTCTGTAACTGGACAAACACAATTATGAAACTGGATGCAACAAACCTCAAATGGACTGAATAAAAGATGTCTGCTCAGGAAAAGCAAATTTTAGTCTCAAGATTATTAGTAACTTCCAGGAAGCCCCAATTTATCCCCACTGGAAAATATGCCCTGTGCAATGTAAAAAGGAGAAGGAAGATTTTAACACAGAAGTTTTTCTGCATAAGTTAAAAAAGAACAAGAAATTTGATAATATCTTATTTAATATCTATAAAAATGTGAATTTAATAAACATGCTAAAACATGTTAATCACGTTTGGATTTGAAAATGCACCAACAATGTGAAATAGTGTACTTAATTCTCCTGCATCAGGAGACAAACAGTGCTCTTGCCCAAGTCTGCGGGCAACAGAGACACATGGCAGCACTCTCCCATGACTCTCCCCATCCCTAGAAGAAAAGAAAGATTCCAACCACAGCATATTCATTTAAAAAGTGTTCCAATATAATGATCAGATGTATCAAATGTAAATTTTTTCCCCTTTAAAGTAATCTCTAAATTTGGCCAAACTAAGATCCTAATGAACAGCAGAGATCCCCATGTGACTATGTGGCAAACTCTCTGATATTCTCTTGCCCCAGCAGGTAAGTCCAAACAACGACAATCTACAAGGAAGCCATGCCCTCCTCCAATTAACAATTCCAAGGTTAGAACAGAAGTAAACATAGAACAAAAGGAAACAGACACATACATACTCAAACACACCCACAATCTCCACAACGTTCATATCTGATAACAGCTAAATTTCATTCCAAGCAGATAATTTAATGACAGTTTTGCTATAAAATAAAATTAAGTAGAATGCTCAAGCAAGGGTATTTTCCTTCAATGTTAGAGAAAAAGCAGCAGCTATAATTTTAAAATTTACTCCAGAATGAAATAAACACTAACTCTGAAAATAAGACATGAGAAAATTGTACTGGTTCGCTGAGGCAAGGCCCGTCCCCACCCCAGGCAGAGTAAGCCCCCAACCTTTTTCTGCCGAGAAACATGAGTTTGAGTTGCTGCTGAAGAATATTTGACTTCAACGACAAATTTAAAATATAATGATTTTTTACCTTCCCTCTGAAATACGAGTTGAAGAGGACGCAAACAACTCACAATAAAGTTTTATGTGTGAGGTGATCACCACCAGTACACAAGTTTGAAAAAGTACTATTGCCATATATATTTGCTTTAAAAAACTGATTATGACAAGCTTCAAGTAAAAATCATTTTTAAAGGGTCGATTTTCATTTACATATAACTAATACATCTTATTTACATATATATGGCTGAATTTTTATTCAATTTTCATCATATAAGGTCTGTATTTTAACTGTATTTAACTTATATACTGTTTTTATAAAGACTAAATACCCTTCCATTCACAGGCAGTTTTGATGATGCTAGTTTGTCTCCACATTAAGAACTGAATATAGTTACAACCTTAATGAATAAAAAAGATTAAGATCCTGTATTAACAGCCTATGGGTCACATCACTTATTCAAGGATTCAATTGCCTAGTCTGTATAAATTACAGGTGGCAACAAAACACAAAGCAAATATGATTCTGAAGACCTTGAAGAAGAACTCTGACATATAAGACATTAACCACTGCTTAATGCTGCCATTGATATGAAATTCTTCTTCTTTTCAAAAAACACTGATTTTTCTACTAATATTTAACTTTAAAAAGATATCTTAGTTCTTTAACCCTCAGAGAACAAGTATATTTAGGCAACTAACCAAAAAATAATCAGAAGCATATATCTTTGCCCAGTTTCCAAAGGGTTAAAGTGTAGGAATTTTCTATACCCTGTTATATAAGGCACCCTATTCCACTTTTTTCTTAAAAGAAACTTTTTCTTTGGTTTCTTGTAACTTTTCAGTAAGTCTATCCTTTGTTTCTTCCATCTTCTCTGTGATGAGCTCCTTAGTCTCTTCCATCCTGTCCTGTAGATACTCCTTAACAGGTGGTGGTGTCGACATGTAACCATGACTGCGCAAATACTTTACAGTAATGGACGTTCCTCCCAGAGTCGCAGTATATCGGGCGGGTGTTGCAATCTTAAGAGAAAAGCAAACAGGCAGATCACCATCTGATTATGACTATCATCTTAAACAAAACAAAGTTGAAATTAAAATTTTGGTAATAACCAATCAGTATAAATTACCTTGTTGTTTCACAAAGTTAATGTATTAATAGTAACATCCTATATGGTTTCTCCTCCTAATAAGGGATGCTCCTTCTGTGAATTCATTTTGTCAAAGTTTGTCCCCCTATACAACCTCACCCATGACTACAGAATCATCACAGCCAGTAGCACTGACAACTCTACCTGCATGCTAGGGAACCTGGGTGGCTTGGTACCACTAAGAACAATGAAGACACACATGTTCTATTCCTCAAAACCCTTGCCAACCTGACAAATGCTTTACATCTGAAGCAAAACTAGAAGCAAACTTCTTCAAATGGTGAGAGGCAGAGCCTGAGTCCAACATTCATTCTTTTCTGGATTTAGTTCAGCTTCACTTCCAACTGCCTTTCCTTTGACTTTTCCAGGCCTATGCTACCTTTTCACAGTCCACTCTGACTCTGGAATCCCAGCAGGAAACTTCCGTGAGGCCAAAAGTGGTAAAATGGCATAGAGGGTTTAACTCTGATCAGAGATTTAAGGATCAAAACTAAATAGTAGACGACTGGTCAAAGAGAATCATAAAAGCAAAGAGGCTGCATCACATTCTGAGTTGAAATCGTTTGTGTGCTTTGAAAGAGGTGTCTGTGCTCTATTTCCAATTTCTCTCTTGCACTCACTCCAACCAAGCTTTCAACCCTACCTTTCCACCAAAACTGCTTTCATCAAAGCCACAGTGACCTCTATGAAACCAAACCCAAGTATCAACTTGTAACCAGTGCCTGAACCACTGGAAGCCTCTGTGACAGCTTTTCACTTTGCATCCTAGGAACTTCCTTTACTTGGCTGCCAGGCCCTCACCTGTCTGGCTTCCTTCCAGATCATAGCTGATCCTAACCTCTTCATTTTTGCCAATTCCTCCCCATCTGCCCACTTCTGAGCATGGTGTGACAACGCCTGGTCCCTGGACCTCTTCTTTTCTCCACCTTCCTTACTCACTCTTCTTGCTGGTTTGTCCAGTTTCATATCTTTACTGCTATCTATACATTGATGGTTCTTAAATTTAGATCTCCAGAATGAACCTTTCCCCTGAATTCCCGCACATGCAACCACCTACTCATTTATACTTGCATGTCTAATACGATCTCAAAACTTAATACTGTCATGTCAAAATTTCCAACTTAATGGAGGATACATTCTAAGAAACATGTTGTTAGGCAAATTCATCGTTGTGTGAACATTATAGGGTATACTTACATCTCAGCAATCTGAGATGATACAGCCTACCATGCACCTAGGCTATAAGGTACTGGAAGGAGCTGATGGGGTTTTCTAATGGTTTGGACACAGATTATGTAATAGAAAGAGAGGAATTGAAGCCTTCTCATGTTGTGGCCTGAGCAACTGGAAGAATAGGATAGAGTTGCCATTTTCCTGAGCTGGGGAAGACTTTGGTAAGAACAAGTTTGAAGTGGGACAGCTGAAGACTCTTCCTGCTACTGTCAGGGTCCTGCCACCATCGCCTCCCACCTAGAAACACTACAATATGTCTCATGTCAAGTCCCTCAGCTTTCCCCTGGCCCTACTATGGTCTGTTCTCAATACAGCAGCCAAAGAGATTTTGCTGAAACAGAGGTCAGATGCTTAAAACTGCTCTGTGGCTTTCCATGGCCACAGAGTGAAAGCTGAGGTCCTTACAAGGCCCTACAAGACCACCCTGATCTGAAACTCCTATCTCTGCTCTGCTCACTCATTCCAGACACACTGGCTTCCCCAGTATCCCTCAGACGCTCCCAATATCCTGCAGCCTCAGGACCTTGCCCTTGGGATTTCCTCTGCTTGCAAAGCTATTCTTCCTGGAAGCTGCTCTCTGCCTGCTCAGCAAGGCCTTCCCTCTAGAATTGCAACCCTGCCCCTGAAAAACAAATACCATATACACACCCCCACCATCCCTGGTTTCTTCTTTCTTCTTAGCACTTACCACTCTGTGTGTGAGCGCATGTTAACTTCACCTTTGTTTCTCCAACTATATCCCCACCGTACCCTACTCACCAGACTATATGCTCCCCAAGGGCAGGTATTTTGTGCTGTCTTACTTAGTTAGTGCATTCCCAGGACCTAGCATGGCACCTGGCACACAGCAGGAGCTCCACCAATTATTGACTAAAACTATGGGTGCATTTCAAAGCGAGAGTAAGGGAGTTAATAAGCACATCCCAGCCAAGTGCCACAGTGCCACACTCAAAGCATTCTTTTCTCATCTCTGCCACATTTCATTTTGGGGCTTTGCCTTCATGAAGCAATAAATCTGTGTTTGTTGTTCTATTTGAGAAACTGTGGGTTACAGAAAATACACAGGAGAATTCCCTCCCATTTTCCACCTGCCAGAGGGATGGCGAGGGGAAAGAAACATCATGGATACTAATCTACCCGCAAGTGCAGCTTCATGCTTCAAACCCAGACACGCACACATGTGCTGGGTATTTATTCACCAACTCGGCACAATACCAGGCAAAGTGAAAACACAAAAAGAAAGAAGACATGATTCTGAATTCCTAGGAGCCCCTAATCAAATAAAGAAAACAAACACTTAAAAAAAATCAGAGACACTGCTATGAACTGCCAGAGCTATAAGCATTTTATGGGAATGTGGAATAAGGAGCAATTAAAACTAGGAAAATGGCTTAAATCTTCTGGATAGTGTGACTTACTAAGGTTAAATTATACCCATTATAGACTAGAAACTTGATAATTTATTAATTTAATAATCTTCAATGTAGAAAACTCAGAAATTAAGCTTTACCCCTCTAGCTAACATTATAATAAATGAGGAAAGATTCCAAAATTTCAGAGGATTTCTAATAAGGATGACAGACTAAAACAATGTTACTATTGAGTAATACTATATAACTGTAACTCCAGCTATTCTTATACAACAGAATTAAAATAAAATAACATCTAGTTTCCAAGCATTTTCTACCTGTTTTCTTTCTCAGGTAGAAGCTTCATAGAATCTCATGTGAATTTGTCAATTGAGAAAATGAGATTAATATGGTTAAATTCCACAATTTACAATGAGTTTTCCCTTCAAAAATAAAGATCCATAAGTGTAGAAACTTATTTATAAAGACGACGTCTGAATCCAGAGAAGTTATAAAGATTATGAACTTCTAAAATGAAACATACATAACATCTAACAAAAAAGGTTTATCACATAAAAAAATTTGAATTAGACCTTACTATTTTACTTGCTAAGATGAAATTAAACAGAAAAATAAATGCTAAATTTTGCTAATCACTCAGGTGGCATGTGGATTCCTGAATAAGGAAAAATAAGTGTGTCTTAAAATAATTATATTTCCATTTATCAATAGAAGAAATTTCAAAAGGTGACTACTGCCATAGAAAAATACACAAATCTAACATCTGTCGAATCACAGCAGGTTATGAATGATCTATGTATTTTTAAGGCATTTCTTAAAACCACACTTAACACTTTAATTTTATAACTTTACTTTATTCATGACAAGTAAGAGATGAAATAGTGTCTTAAGTTGCCAAAAAAACCCACTGGGAGCTAACATGGAGTTTTATGGGGAAGGAAGCTGGTCACTGGTTAAGTCTGAGTAGCAACTGGTTTATAAGAGTACCCACCTTAAACATGGCATATGCTGTTATTGCGTTTCCACTCTGGGAATTTTTAAGGATGTTTACCACACTGTCAGGTAACCCAATGAGTTCCAGAAAAGGAACAACATTCACTCCTCTATGAAAAAAACAAAAAGTAATTTACATATGTACAAACTTTTAAGGATACTTTCAAAAATTATCTGAAAATACCCAAACCACACTTTATTATAATTTGTATTAAGTTTTGTTTCTATAATTTGTATTAAATTATTTAAAAGTTGATTCTGCATTATTAAGCACTTTAATTGCACTCTAAGAAAATATCTTACTTGATGTACAAAGACATCATTGTCACGTTGTCCCTTATAGCTTGCAAATTCTAGTTTACTTCTGCATGGGAGCATCCTAGTTTTAGTATGTTTAGAAAATGGAAGCCTTTATTAGAACAAAATTAATAGCTCTAAGTAAACTATAAGAAAAGCATCAGAATCATTTGCTTGATCTTAGTTTCCTCAACCAAATACTATTTCCTTAGAATGCTCCAACTCAAATTTCAAGACCTAAGATTTTTACCTTTAAAATCACATTGTAAAAGCAAGGGGTATTTTAACATCCCTTATTGTGTTATTATGCAAAGAATAAATGATTCTATGGGCTTGATGAAAACTTCAATATCTCCAAAAGGATGTTTCTATTAACACACTAAAAAGGCAGGTAAAGAAGCAATAACCATAAACTGCAATAGATTTTTGGAGGTAGAAAGAGAAAGCAGAAAAAGTTTCCAACCTGAGCTGTTAGGCCCTGATTTTTTTCAGTTTCCCAATTATTAACATTAGCCACAATGGCTCTTGGTCTCCCGCTTGTGCACTCACTCTCTTTCTCACTGTGTGTAGTTTTGCAGACATTTTGACCCTTCATCCCTAAATCTGAACAAGGACATTCAACAACATAAACATAATTGTCACATTCAGAAAATTTAACATACACAATAGTGTATGTATTAATACCATAATATATTACTTAAAATCTCATCTAGCTCAAAATTCCCTAAATTGTCCCTGTATGTCCCTTATTGCTATTTTTCCTGTCTTACTAGTCTCCCTTTCTCTGTAGGTTTTTCCCAGCACTTTTCTGGAGAAGTCAGGATGTCTTTCTTTCTTTTTTTTTTTTTTTTGAGACAGAGTCTCACTTTTGTTGTCCAGGCTAGAGTGAGTGCCGTGGCGTCAGCCTAGCTCTCAGCAACCTCAAACTCCTGGGCTCAAGCGATCCTTCTGCCTCAGCCTCCCAAGTAGCTGGGACTACAGGCATGTGCCACCATGCCCGGCTAATTTTTTTTATATATATATCAGTTGGCCAATTAATTTCTTTCTGTTTATAGTAGAGACGGGGTCTTGCTCTTGCTCAGGCTGGTTTTGAACTCCTGACCTTGAGCAATCCGCCCGCCTCGGCCTCCCAAGAGCTAGGATTACAGGCGTGAGCCACAGCGCCCGGCCAGGATGTCTTTCTTGATATCGAGACTTTTAAAGCATCCACATTAACTGCCTGGCAGGATGTCTCTCTCTCTGCTTTTTACATTCTACCTTTCTCTTTTGATATATAGGGCACTTCTTAATGTGAGTTTGTCTGATCGTTTCCTCACGATTAGATTCAGGTTAAATATTTTCCCACAGGAAAATGACTCGGTAGATGCTGTGTCAGTCAGCACAACAGGGGTCACATAAGGCCAGTCTGTCCCATCCCTGGTGTCAATGAGTTTGGTTAAAGCAGGGCCCCCAGGCCACTCCACTGTACATGTATCTTTCCCTTTGTCATTAAGAATGGTAATTGCCTGGGTCCATTATTATTATGCTAGCTCTGAACTCTTATTTATTTTTAATATGAAAAAATAACTTGGTTACCTGGGGAAAGGTATCCCTCTCTGTGATTTTACATTATACTATGCAATAAGGGAGTAGACATGGCTGACAATCAACAAGAAAGAAATGTTAAAAATGACCAATCATCAAAAATAAGAGGAAACCAGAACTAGTTAAAGGATCTTTAAAGAGGTAAATTTAAAAATCAACAGAGTCCAATCTGGTTATTTCTATCTCCACCTTGAATTATTTTTCAAATCTCTTTCTAGATAACAACAGAATCCCATTAAGGTAAGGTTCAGAATTACAGAGTTAGCTATTCTCTGGATCTAATGAAGTCACTAAAATAACTACACATGCTTCCATCCTGCCATACCAGGCCACTTACACCTTCTAGTACCAAGTACAAAATTATTTCATTAATCATTTCCTAGTTCCAAGTAGGCCCAATATATAAAATCTATATTTAACAGCAACTGTGAAGAAAAAAGATGAACGTCTGGCCAAATAAAAGAGTGATTAAAAAAAAAAACCCTTTATCATAAAGATCAGACGATAATAAACTCGGACACCATGCACAAGCTGTAAGTACATCGTTGGCTTATATCCTAGGTAAGCACCTAGTTCTACTTATTTCTAAATTGTTGACTAGATGACTTGATTTTCTTAAAAATAACCTCCATTTCCTTTGGAATTGCTAAACGTGAAGCAATGGTGAGGGTCTGATTCAGACAGAAACATACATTGTGTCTTTCTACTCTGAGTTCTCATGGACAGACAGGAACCTGCGCTTCACAAACTGCGAGCTTTATGGATGTTTCAAGAGATATCGAACACACAGGGGCCAAACAACATTCACTGTCCGGATAAAGTGCAGTAAAAGTAAGTCAGGTTTGTGCCTCAGAGTGAATCTGTAACTTGAGGCCCCAAACACAAGGCATCTAAACGCAGGGACAACATCGTCATTACTGAACCACATTTGAGTGAACAGAGCACTCTGGTCAGAAGACATAAGATCTCTGCAAGCTTCTGCCAGACAGGCGAAGCAACAAAGCTTAGTCTAAAATAAAACCTATTAGCATGCACAATTTAGAACTCCCTGAAATAAAATATTTCAAAAGCCTGAGAACTTTATCACTGAATTAACTAAATATAGAATTGACATTTTGCTCTACAGTGCCTAGAAAGGCAGTAATGTGAATGTCGGAGTAACTAAGACAAACACTGGTCAGTAATGCAGCATGGTGTCAAATGTCCATCCTTCCAGCTACAAACTATTTTTCGCTTTCTTTTAATAGTAAGTAGGCAACAAGTAAATAACAGAGATCTTTTTCCAGCCAAAAAAAAAAAAAAAGCTAAAATAGAACTAGCCTCTTGTCAATTGAATTAAAAACTGGTATTTAATACAATCAACTTCAATTTTACAATAAAATCATCTCACAGTGACAGATACTCTGCCATTCAAACATATCCTAGTTCCTTTTTTTCTAATCCACGAGTTCTATTTTCTAAGTATTACTTATGATTAAGATCTTCACTTAGAACCAATCAACTTACAATTTTTGAAGTATTCATGATCTAATAAAAACACTAAGGAGGACAGTTGTGGGAAGCAGCCTATCCTGCATAATATAAATTAGCTATGCGATGCTATGACAGGATTGGCCCAATGGTCACAGCTGGGCAGTAGTGGGAGTCTGGCAACCAGGTCCCATGCTAAAAGAAAGCCCAAAAGCAAGTTGTGATGGATAAGGGGTATGACTTTAAAGTGGACAATGTTACTACCATGTTGACACATAAGCATTCTGCAGAAAAAGAGAGGGAAGGAAAAAACTAAGAAAGCTGCATTTCATAGGGGATGACAGAATATCACCCACAATTACCTGAGGTCTGAGACAACAATGAAAAAAATCTTCAGTATAAGTAATATCACTAGATTATTTGGGGGTCTGCTTTTAGTTATAGACTTCTACAGATATTTTATAAAAATAGCTATTTTTAAATTTTATATTTCAACATGTCCAGAAAATGTCATTAATAAACAAAGAAATAATTCCATAAAGTATGCATAGAAGAATCTTCTGGAAGGAAAGGTACAATCCTTGAAGAAAATCATACACAATGAAGAAGGATATAACTGAATAACAGGAATATATGGAAAGATATGAAGAGAAACAGTGGCATCAATTATACAAGATGAAAAAAAATACTTTTATAACTTTTGCAAAGAAACCTTTGTAATCCTGTTTCCCAAAATAAAGTCTTCATCCCATCATCATGGGATAGGTACTTTAAACACAAAACTATATCATGTTTAATATCAAGCAATTAAATATAATCAAGTACTGAAAAACACTGGACTTTGGAGAGTATAAAAGAATTCTACACCTACTAGAAGAGTATACTGAAGTGTCAGAGCCATTCACGTGGGCACTAGATCCACTAGAGGCAGAAACGGGGAATCACTGGTACTCCTGCTCCTAAAGCAGTGTGAAGAAAATAACTTACCTTAAACAGAAGGAACAGTATGTAAGAAGATGCATTTAGAAATTTTATGTTTCAAACATTGGAAGGGTAGGCCCACCAAATTTAGTTCTCATCAGAACAAAAGACCTTATCTTGACATTTATTTGACACGAATAATATCAAAGTATAATTGGTACATTTTTGAGTCTACAACAGGTATTAGCCAGGTTTTAGCAAAAATATCCTATGAATCTCCAACCAAAACCTTGTATGGCAAAGTAGATATAAGAAATATTATTTTAATGATGGAGTTCATGGTACTGCCAAATCTCTAAATGTGATATTTTATTTCTGTGCTCTCCTGAATGTTGAGATGAGAGCAGCATAGTGATGAGGAGCACGTGCTTGAGATAAGACAAACCTAACTGGGTTTTTAGTCCAGGCTCCACCTCTTACCAGCTGAGTTATTCTTACTTCTTGCCTAATCTATTTTCTCAATCAGAAAATGGGTAAAATTATATTACTTGTTTCATATGGTTGCTGTGAAGATTACTGGAGATAATATAGTTAAAAAACTCAGCAAGCTGCCTGATGGACACAGTAAGCAAATGTTAGCTATTACTATTAAAATGTGAAAAAAAGCTATGAAAAGTAGCTATCAATGAGACACTAAAGCATTTAAAAATCTATTTAAGGTTATCAATAGTATACTAATTAAGAAGATTAACATTCTGATAAAACAGGGAAAGGTATTCAACCAAGCAAAAACTTACTTTAGGGTTGCATAATAAAATGTTCCAAACCAAACACAAGAAGTTATTAGATGCACTGGAATCAAAACTTTTCCATATTGTCTAAATGTTTTCTTAAATCGCTGATACAGACTAATAGATTTGTCTTGTAAAGGATCAGACTCTTCCTTTTTTTCTGGAGTTCCTTGGGCTGGAGCACTGGAAGATAAAACCCTCTTGGATAAAACATCTTGCTTCCATTGTTTATGGTGAAGGATCCCGGGATGGGGTGGATGAGCATCCAATGGCCTCCTTTCCTTTGCAACACACTGGGCAGCACATAAGTGCAACCATTGTCTCTGAGGGCCTCGAACCAAACCCACTTTGGATTCAGCATTATGCAAAAGTAATAGTCCATTTATGTTTTGACAGTGTCCAAAAACAGCAGCTTTATGTGGTTCTAAGCATGTCCTGTGTGCCAGTCGAGATACAGTCCATGGTATATTCCACTGCATTTTGAAGAATGGTGATAGATTTCAGCTTCTATAGAAACTAAAAAAAAATTAGATAATACACACGTTTCCATTTTAAACCAATCCACTTAAAAATCAATCATTAACTATTAGGAAGTAAAAGGACAGACAGTGCTACATAACTCACAGAAATTAATGTTAAGGTATACAGTTTTGATACAGTATAATTTTAAAATTTCACTAAAACCCATTATTTAAATATGATATGGTAAACCAGTCCAGCAGACATCATGGGGGATAATGTTTTGAGGCTATTTTATAACCACAGAAGGGATATTTGTAGGGCTTCTGTTACTTTACACAGAAGCAGGGTAGTGTAGTGGAATAAAACCTAAGATCTGGGTTCTGATGTTCTGGGGACATAATTCCATGCAATTCCCTTTCAGACTCCAAACCCAAGTCAATTAGTAAAATGAGGGTTACTTCACAAGGCTGCTATAAGAATTACATGAAATTTCTGACATAAAGGTGCCTTTGTAAACTAATAGCATCACACAAGTATTATTATTACAAATGTTAAGATCTTATGAATAGTTGATATCAATATCATTTATTCTATATTGCCTTTAGACTAAGTTATATAAAATTGTAAGCCTCTTACATCACTGAATAGTCAGTGAGAAGAAATAGCCTCATATTTGTCTCCTTTGTTACCCCATATCACAGGTAGAGAGAAATAAAAGTATACAGCAATGTTTCATTATTTCTTTTGGTGTCATGTGGAATTAAGAATTACAAGATAGCAGGGCGCAGTAGCTTATGCCTGTAGTTCCAGCTACTTGGGAGAGTAAAGCAGGAAGATCACTTCAGCCCAAGGAGTTTGAAGCTGTTGTATGCTATGACCATGCCTGTGAATAGTTCCTGCACTCAAGATTGGGCAACATAGCAAAACCCTATCTCTTAAAGAGAATTATAAAATAAATTGGAGACTTTCTCAGATATCTAAAACTTTGTTTCAAAAGATAATATAATGTAATTTTTAAAGAACATGGACTTTGGAATAAGATAGACCCAACTGAGTTAACAGTATTATTTTGAACAACTTAATCTCTCTAAACATAGGTTTCCCCAGTGGTAGATGTAATCATAGTAGTCATTACTATATAGTAAACCAGTTCCCTTCCTTCAACATCAGGAAGCACTACATGTCCCCCAACCTCATCCCCACCCCAGCTACCTAACTACTTCTAACATGTTGAGAGAATAGATTTTCTTATTTTTTAATCATATACTAAATAAGAGTCAGTAGGGTTTGCATTAGCACCCCAATAAATTAGCACTCCAGTAAATGCAGATACTACATTATAAATGAATATTCATTATCTAGGGTAGGAAGTTGACTAGAGAAACAAAAACTGTCATCAAATAAAAACATCTATCAATGAATTATCCACCTATAAAACTAATCACCTGTTTCATCCCTCTAATGAATAATTAACATCAGCTCCTTATCAGACTGTCACAGATAATCCAATTACACAATGCAAATGAGTTGCTAAGTGAAACTGTAAATCTTGCAAAATAAACAGGCACCTAGGAAGCCTTTAAAAAAGTGATACTGGATTGGACAACGTGATGCAGTAGAACAAAAAAGTAACACTGGAGATCAATTTCAGACAAAGTAGACTTCAGAAATTCTTTGATTACCAGTGATAAAGAGAGTAATTTCATAACAACATAAAAATAATGAAAATAAGATACAACAATACGAACCATGTATATACCTAACAAGAGAGCATCAAAACAAATTAGGTAAAAAGTGACAGAACTGAAAGGAGAAATCAACAATTCCACTATTACAGTTAGAGACTTTAACACCCCTATCAGGCACTGACAGATGCAGCAGGCAGAAAAGTCAGTAAAGATATAGTTAAACTAAACAACAATATTAATCAGCTTGATCTAATTGACATTTATAGACCATTCCATTCAACAACAGCAGAATACACATTCTACTCAACTTACATGGAATATTCAAGAAGACAGACCAAAGAACGGAAATCACGCAAAACATGTTTTCAAACTACAATGGAATTAATATAGAAACCATTAACACAAAGATAGCTGGAACCACCACCCTCTGCCTACCCCAAGCATCTGGAAATTAAACAGCATACTTCTAAAAACCATAGGTCAAAGCTAGGCAGGATGATTTTACCTGTAGTCCTAGCTACTCAGGAGGCTGAGGTGGGAGAATTGCTTGAGCCCAGGCATTTAAAGCAGCAGTGAGCTATGATTGTGCCACTGCACTCCAGCCTGAGTAACACATCAAGATCCTGCCTCTAAAGATAAAACAAAAATAAAACGACTACAGGTCAAAGAAATCTAAAAAGAAGTTTAAAAATATTTAAGTAAATTAAAATAAAAATACAACTTATCAAAGTTCATGGGATGCAGCAAAAGCAGTGCTTTAGGAAAATTCCTGGCTTTGAATGCGCATGTTAGAAAAGAAGAAAGATTGAAGCTTAATAAGCAGAGCTTCCTCCTTAGGAAACTAGAGAAAGAAGAACAGGCAGAAGAATAAATCTCTAGCCAGGCTAAGAGGGAAAACAAATAATGAATGTCAGAAATGAAAAACGATCATAACTACTGATTCCAGAGACGATAAAAAAGAAATAAAAGAATACTATGAATAACTAACTTTATGCCTACAAATATAACTTAAATAAAATGGACCATGTCCTCAAAAGACACAAACTACCAAAACTAACACAAAGAGAAATAAAAGATCTGAATAACTCTACATTTACTAAAGAAATTGAATCAATTACAACCCTTCAAAAAAAAAGAAAACACCAGGCCTGGGTAGTTTCATTAGTGAATTTACCACACATTTAAGGAAGAAATAATACCATTTCTCTACCATCTCTTCCAGAAAATGAAGGCAGAGGGGAGACATCCCAACTCATTCTATGAGGCCAACGTTACCCTAATACTAAATCCAGCTAAAAATAATCCAAGAAAGGAAAACTACAGACCAATATCTCCCATGAACATAGAAAGCAAAAATCTTCAAGAAAATATTAACAAATCAAATCCAACAACAACTAAACACAATCATACACCCTGACCAAGTGGGATTTAATCCAGATATGCAAGGGTAGTTCAACATTTGAAAATCAGTATAACCCCACCATATCAACAGGCTAAAAAAACAAAACAAAACAAAAAAAAAACTGAAGGAGCCAAAGCATTTGGTAAAATCCAATTCCCATTCATGATTAAAAAAAAAACAAACTTCTCATCAAACTAGGAGTAGAGGGGAACTACTTCAATTGATAAAGAACATCTACAACAAACCTACAGCTAAAGTCACATTATATACACCGGTGTGAGACTGGACACTTTCCCCCTGAGACTGGAACAAGGCAAAGATGATCGCTCTCACCACTCCTATTCAACACTGAACTGCAAATCATAGCTAGTGCAATAAGATAAAAAATAAAAATAAGGATATATAGTGGAAAGGAATAAATAAAACTGTCTTTATTTGCATATGGCATGATTGTCTATTTACACTATCTAAAAAAATCTGTAAGAAGTCTTTTTGACTCCTGGAACTAATAAACAAATATAGCAAGATTACAGGCTACAAGGTCAATATACAAAAGTCAACTGCTTTTGTATATACTAGCAATGGTATATAGGAATTTGAAGTTAAAAAAAGAATACCACTTATAATAACACCAAAAAACAAAACAAACAAAAAAACACCTTAGGTATAAATCTAACAAAATATGTATAAGATCTATCTATCTACATATATATATATGGAAAACTACAAAACTCTGAAAGAAATCAAAGGTTTAAATAAATGGAAAAATATTCCATGTTCATGAACAGAAAGACTCACTACTATTATCAGTGTTTATCAATATGATCTACAGATTCAACATTAAAATTGCGATCAAAATCCTAGCAAATATTTCTTACATGTCAACAACCTGATTCTAAAGTTTATATGGAAAGTCAACATTTCTAGAACACCCAACTGAAGAACAAGGACTGATATTTGTTGGTGGACTGATACTACTAGACTTCAAGACTTACTATAAAGCTGCAGTAATCAACACAGTGCAGTACTGAGAAAAAAAGGCACATAGATCTTTCACAAAGGAGCAAAACAATTTGATGAAAAAAAAGGATAGATTTTTTCCCCAGTGGTGCTGGAACAACTAGATATCCATATGCAAAAAAATTAACCTAGATACGGATCCTATAATGACTTTCACATAATTTAACTCAAAATAGACAATAGACCTAAATGTAAAATGTGAAACTATAAAATTTCTGAAAGAAAATTTAAGTGATCTTGGGTTTGGCAATGACCATTTAGATACACCACCAAAAGTATGATCCATGAAAGAAAAAGTTGATGTTGGACTTCATTAAAAACAGAAATGTCACTCTGTGAAAGACACTGTTATAAGTGAAAAGACAAGCCACTAACTGGGAGGAAAGGACTTGTATCCAATACAGTCACCAGCCACATGAGGGCAGTTTCAGTCAATGATGGACTGCATAGACGAGGGTGGTGTCGTAAGATAAAGGAACTGAAAAGTTCCTATGGTTTAGATACTGCTTAGTACACACTGCACATACAATTGTGTACAGTACACAATACTTGATAATAAATGATATTACTGGTTTATGAATTTATTATACTGTACTTTTTGTCATTATTTTACAGTGTATTCCTTCTACTTATCAAAAAAAAAGTTTACTGTAAAACAGCCTCAGGCAGGTCCTTCAGGAGGTATCCAGAAGAAGGCATTGTTACCATAGGAGATGACAGCTTCATGTGTGTTATTGCCCTTGAAGACCTTCCAGTGGGATAAGATATGGAGGAGCAAGGCAGTGATATTGAGGGTCCTGACCCTGCGTAGGCTTAGGCTAATGTGTGTGCTTGTGCCTTAGTTTTTAACAGGAAAGTTTAAAAAGTAAAAAAAAAAAAAAGATTTATCTTAATAGTAAAAAGCTTATAGAATAAGAATATAAAGGGAAATATTTTATACAGCT